TACAGGCTGAGCCACCGAGCCCAGCTTCTTTTCTTTCTTTTTTTTTTTCCTTTTACAACTCTCTCTTCCCTTTTCTCTATTCCTAGTGCTTCCATTTTATTTTTATTTCTTATCTCCTCTCATCTGCATTGGTCTTAGAGTAAACAGCTTGCTCATCTGATTCTAGTCTGTCATTCCATTTAATTACCCATAATATTAAAATCATTATTGTAAATATACTTATTTCTTTATGTCAGTCTCCTGCTCAGTAATAACTGCCTGATTACTTCCTCGGTAAATTCAAACGTCTTTGTCTTTTTAAAGAACCTCCATATTGTGGCTTCATACTATTTAATATATTTTTATGAAGATTAATTTTTCCATTTTCTTTCTGTGCATGCCTTTATAATTATTTCAAACTCTTTGTTTTACTTTTGTCTCTAGCCCTTATTAGTTTACTGTTTTCCTCTTTGAATATTTATTATCTACTTGCTCTTAAAGAAGTGCAAATCCTGTTTTCAGAGAAACATGTCTGCTTTATCTTTGACTGTTGGTGTTTTGTTTTATCTTGTTTTCTTGAGACAAGATCTCACTGTCATCCGGGCTAGAGTGCAGTGGGACAACCATAGCTCACTGCAACCTCAAACTCCTGGCCTCAAGCAATACTCCTGCCTCAGGCTTCTGTGTAGCTAAGAGTAGAGGCATGTGGCACCATACCTGGCTAACTTATCTTTTTGAGTTAAGGTTTTTTACTCTGTCACCCAGGCTGGAGTACGGTGGCATGATCACAGCTCACTGCAGCTCCAACCTCCTGGGCTCAGGTGATCCTTCTACATCAGCCTCCCAAGTAACTCGCCTTGCCATTTCTTTATATCTTCCTTTCTTTTCCTTTTTTTTTTTTTTTGTTGAAGAGACTGGGTCTCACTGTGTTACCCAGGTTAGAGTTAAACTCCTGGGCTCAAGTGATCTTCCTGTTTTAGCCTTTTGAGTAACTGGGATTATAGACGTGCAACACCACTGCAGGCTCACCTTCCATACTCTAATATCTCCTCTTCAATTTGAGAATTGATTGCTGTGTATAAATCAATAGAAATTTTATCAGTACTTCATTTATATGCCTGCTACTATATGTATTCTTCTCTGAAAGCTTACCACAGAAAGGATGATACATGAAATACATTTCTCATTCCTTCTTAAGCAACATTCTCCATCTTTCTTCCCTTTGCTAGGTGTTCCTAAAGGAGCAGGAACGACAGCACTTGCAAGATATGCTTCACCGAGAGGTGCTCCGCAGAATCATATTGTTGCAGCGATGGTTCAGGGTCTTGCTTTGTAGGCAGCATTTCCTCCATCTGAGGCAGGCATCTATTATTATCCAGGTGAGAAACAAAGGATTCTTTGCATGCAGTTGCCCAGTTTATTTGGCCTTTGTTTAATAAACAGAACTGTTTCACATTCTGTGAAGCATTTACATAAGGTAAACTTCAGTAATGAGAATGTGTCTTACTCACTTTTGAAATGCTCATAGCACCCAGCAGATTACCTAGCACATAAAAGTCAAGTAGTAATGAATATTGACTGCACTAAATTTAAGTTAAATTGAATTTATAGCTATAATGTCTTGTGAGGTATGTGTAGGGGCAGAGGAGTTATATACCTAATTTTTGTTTACGTTGTTATTTAATAGTTTTTGGAGTAATATTTGAGAGTTATATGTACCTTGTTGATAGGCATCGTTTTGGATGATAGGCCCCTTATTTCACGTTTATCTGTTTTATCTCTCTCATTGATTTATATCATTGGTTGTTCTCCAGGAAACTTTTTTCATTTGTGTGAGAAAATGTTTAGTATCTTCATCCTTTAATGTGTGCCAGGGTTACCTTAAACCATTAATATATTTTGACAAATTGTAGCAGAGAATATAATGGAATTTGTTAAAACTAATTTGTACAGGGTAAGAGCATCCAAAAATACCAAATTACGTTTTGTTATTAACTTCATCAAGGTTATATTACTTAAAATAGCTTTTTAAGTCATATTTGGAAAAGAAAATTTTATTTTTAATTACCAACAGTTTAGCTGCTGGACCACTTAACTGTAATTATGACATGGGAAATTCTCTTTTATCTGTGAAAATGCAGTGTAAGATATGACAGCTAGTTTCTATTATATTTTTTTCCCACAGCGATTCTGGAGGAATTACCTAAATCAGAAGCAAGTCAGAGATACAACTGTGCAAAAGGATGTTGCTGTTATGGCTAATGCAGCTGCTCTTCTCCAAGCTTCCTGGCGTGCTCACTTAGAGAGGCAGTGGTACTTGGAGCTGCGAGCTGCAGCCATCATCATCCAGCAGAGATGGAGAGAGCACTATAGGCACAGACACTCAGCTGCTCTCTGCATACAGGCAAGATGGAAGGCCTACAAGGAAAGTAAGAGGTACCAAGAGCAACGGAACAAAATTATCCTTTTGCAGTCAGCATGTAGAGGATTCAGAGCAAGAAAAAGGTAATCTTACTACAATAATTGCTTTTTTCTCTCTTCCCAAATACTGTACTTATACTTCAGCATTAACACTTGTCTAGTTTGTACTAGAGTTTATTATATACAATGTATCTTTTCCTAGATTATACTTCTACCAATTTTAACCCACGGTGTCTGGTCTGTAGTAGAACTTACATTTAAGTGTTTATTGAAGTAAATCAGTTTGAAAATCTACATGGCCAATGATTTTAACTGCTAAGAATAAATTTTTACATTAGGTGAATCTTTTAAAATTGGCAATATTCAAGTATTTTTTATCTTCAGAAACTTTAACTTCACATTTAAGGTTTATCATAAAATAAGGATGTTATTAAAATGAGAGATTTACTTCTGAGTTAGTTTATATTTTTAATGGAATGCCCAGTTAGGAATAATATACTTAATTAAATATCATCTGACTCATGAAATAGGAAAAGTATAAAATGTGTGTCCAAGTTAGTTTAAAAAGTACTTAGGTATTATAACAAGCTTTTGCAACTTTCCATTTTTTCTTAAAGTCTCAGTAAATATGTTCTCTCCATTGGTAACCAAAGGATTTCCATAACCCATTGTGTCTGTTTTTATATAGATTTAAAGCTTTAAAAGAACAAAGGCTAAAAGAAACAGAACTAGAACCTGGATTGGTGAATATCAAGGGATATGGAGCTCTGGAAATTCAGGGTTCAGACCCTTCAGAATGGGAGGATTGTTCCTTTGACAACAGAGTGAAAGCCATAGAGGAATGTAAATCTGTGATAGAGAGTAATCGAATTAACCATGAAAGTTCAGTGGACTGTCCAAAGGAGTCCCCAAGCAAGCGGCAGGAGAGAGCCAGAAGCCAAAGTGGTATGGATTTGCAGGAAGGTATGATTGTAAGAGAGAGACCCAAGTCCTTGGAGGATCTCCAGCAGAAAAAAGTAGGCCGGGCTAAAAGAGAAAGTCGGAGAATGAGAGAACTAGAACAAGCTATATTTAGCTTAGAATTGCTGAAAGTTCGTTCTCTTGGTGGTGTATCTCCTTCAGAAGAACGTAGATGGTCTGCGGAATTGATGCCAGAAGGCCTTCAGTCTCCACAGGGTACACCTGATAGTGAAAGCTCTCAAGGGAGCTTGGAACTTCTAAACTGTGAGGAAAGCCAAAAGAGCAAACCAGAGTCCATAATTTTAGATGAAGGAGACTTGCAGTTGCCATCACCTAAGCTATCTACTAGTCCAAAATTGGATTCACAGGATGGTGCCGTCAGTGCCTCAACTGATACTAGCTTTGCAGAGCATTTGAAGACTGGAACTATGAAGGAAAAGCTGGTCTGCAGTTCTGAATCTATTACCTGTAAACCACAACTGAGAGACTCCTTCATTTCAAGTAGTCTGCCTACATTCTTTTATATTCCCCAACAAGATCCACTGAAAACAAGTTCCCAACTAGACCCAAGTATCCAAAGAAACAAACTAGTGGAAAGTGAAGACACAGTGGGGACAGCTCTTACTTTGGATATCAACCAGGAAAATAGAAAATACCACTGTTCAGGAGAAGATCCAGTTGTTCCTTCTTTGAATACAGAGTCTTCTAATCCTGTGCTTAAGAAGTTAGAAAAGCTAAACACTGAAAAGGAAGAAAGGCAAAAGCAGTTGCAGCAGCAGAATGAAAAAGAGATGATGGAACAAATTCGCCAGCAAACAGATATTTTAGAGAAGGAGCGTAAAGCCTTCAAGACAATTGAAAAGCCACGAACTGGGGAGTCTTTCTTTGCACCATCTTTTTATCAGTCAAAGCAAAGAGTAGAGAGGCCATCCTCTCTCCTTGGCTTAAATACCCTAAATAAGGGAGAACATAGTGTACTGGGCTCCCCATCAGTGACTATGAACAATCCAGCTCTTGCCCCAAAAGGCAGTCCCTCTGCTCACTTATCCCCAAAGGACCGACCTGTCACCTTGTTCTTTGAAAGAAAAGGAAACCCATGCCAATCTAGTACTGGCAAAGAAGTATCCAAGACAGACAGAATGAACACCCAAGTGAATGTAGCCTGTAAACTCTCTAATAATCGCATTTCAAAAAGAGAACATTTTAGACCAACCCAGTCTTATAACCACAAATCTGATGACCTTTCCAGAGAGGGAAATCCTAGGGCCATTTTCTTCACACCAAAGGACAAAAAGAGTATCCCCCTGTAAGTGAAATATTTATTTTTATGTATAAATGAGAAACCTGAAGTGTTTTACTAAGTGGCCTTATTCTGCTCCAACTATTTTTGTAACATGGCTACTCACATTGGCCATTTTCACTTTGTAAAAATATTCTCTAATTGTTAACTCCACCAGTCGCTTAAAATTGGATGTAGTAATAACCCATTAGGGATCTGACTAAGCATATATAGCAGAGTACTTGGTTCTTCTCCATTAAGTGAGAAAGCATTGGTGAAGGACAGTGCAGTGCCTGTAAATGTAGTAGGCGTTCAGCAAATGCTGCTTCCCTAGAACTGTGGGGTTTAGCAATCCAAGCTTGCTAGTGTCAGGCTTTAAAGAAATTAATGTGATTTGTCATAGCTGTTGGCGTAATTATGGTTTTCATCACTTACTTCATACTTTTTGTGTGTGTGATAAATACGTAACATAAAGTTTGTCATGTTAATCATTTTTAAGTGTACAGTGGTGTTAACTATATGCACATTGTTGTGCAGTAGATCTCTAGAACTTTTTCATTCTATAAAACTGAAATTTCCCCTTTCCTTCTGCCCAGCCCCTGGGAACCATCATTCATCATTTTTGCTTCTAAGAGTTTGACTACTTTAGATATTTCATATAAGTGGAAGTTCTTTATACTTTTTTTTTAAACTAATGGTCTTTATGAGAAAAGCATTTTTAAAGTGGTACATAAAAACAAGTTTGATAAAATTTAAGATCCTTGTATTATGTCTTTGTATACAGTGGATTTTTTAGTTTTTGTGGCACAATATCAATGTTGAAATGAAAGGAGGACTGCATCTTAGGGCTAAAGAAACCAAATATCACGTTAACAATGAAAATAACCATTTTTCTCCTTTTATATATATCCTGAGCATTGAAATCTTTCATGCTTTAAAAATGCATACAGATTTTAGAGAAACCCTTTGAAAATATGGGCAAGAGACTATCAGTGCTTTATTTTCTACTAAGTATTTCTACATTATTATGCAATGCAGTTTAACTTAGTGACAGTTTGAAGTCTCATTCCTGCCCATTAATCTATGGATTTCTCAGAAGTTCAAAGGTTCTAGGTGGCATATAGGCTCATAAGAGAGTATTAACAACATAATTCTTGTCATTCTGATTAAATTTAGTGATGTAAGATATATGTGTGTATGTGTGTCTATACACACACACACACACACACACACACACATACAGTAGCTGTTAGAGCCGTGAATCTGTTTTGTAGAAAACGTAATTGTCGATTCCAAGAAACATTAATTAATTATTCTTATGAATTATTCCTTTCCTAGATATATTGTATTAGGTCTACTTTATCTAGTTTGCTTTACTTTATTGATGATCTACTTCAAAATGATTATATGTTGGATTGTTTATATGAAAGTCTGCAGATAAAACTCATACTTTAAATCTTGTCTTGTTCTTTAAGTAATATTAGAAACCTTAGCGTTTTATGGAACTATAAATGTTGGTGCTTCTAAATTATCTAATATTGCAGACAAGGTCATGGTAGCCCATAGACATGAAATTACTTACTCAAGGTCATGTGTTCAGAGAAATAGTGGGGGCTAGAATGTACATTTCATGATTAGGAATCAGCTTTTAGTTTTATGACTAGGAAGTAATACAAGGCTAGTGTCCTTTCTCTTCCATAGTGGTGATGAGTGCCTAGTGGTCTTCGTCTGTTTAATGAGAGAGAACAAAAAAGAAATCATGGAGAAATCTAAAGAAAATGATGTGAGTTTAAAAGTTAGTTATAGTGGTCAAGTTCCGTCAAAGGTCCTGTTATTGTCTATCTTTGGAGGACAAATAAAAGGCCAGTAGGCTGAACTGTGCCTAGAGAGATTTTAATGACCAGAAGGGAATCTCTTACAACAAGTTAGGATTCCTGCTAGCCTTGATGATACATTGCTCAAAAAGAGAGATATCTGAGAAGGCTTTAGCTAGGAAAGATTGCCTTGTATTTGGTTTGTTTAAGGATTATTGCAGCCGGGCTTGGTGGCTCAGCCTGTAATCCTGCACCTTTGGGAGGCTGAGGTGAGTGGATTGCCTGAGCCTGCGGGTTTGAGACCCGCCTGGGCAACTTGGTGAGACCTCATCTTTACAATAAATCAAAAATTAGCCGGGCGTGGTAGCACACGCCTGTAGTTCCAGCTACTTGGAAGGCTGAGGCGGAAGGATTGCCGGAGCCCAGCAGGTCGAGCCTGCAGTGGCCGGGAGTGGCTACTGTACTCCAGTCTGGGCGACAGAGTGAGACTTCAACTCAAAAAAAAAAAAGGATTATTGCATAGGGGTAAAGGACAAGATGACAAGATGACTTCTTATGGCCACTAGACTTTCTTTCATAAAAATAAAATGAAAAATTTTGAATGGAAGAGCTATTAATCTACCAATTAGTATTATAAGTTAGTGTCTGCATTTCACCTAGCACTGTGCTAGATTAGATATGATTCTCAAAGAACGTATAGTCCTGCAGAGAACAGATTAGCAATATGTTGTTGATAAATTTTGACTCATGGTATTGAGTTAATATAGCTAATTTTGGCCATGAAAATATAGTTTTTATTTAGATTTTCATCAGATCCTGATATCCATTTTTGCCCAGAATTTAACGATAAAGCAATCTCATCATACAGTTATTCAAGCAAAATTATGTTTTTATAAGCTAACACTATTAACTTCTACATGGTCTGGAACATACTTTTAGCTTGATTACAAATTCTTATCCTGCCAGTGGTGATTTTATTCTGTTCAACTTCAAGTTTTAAAACTAAGACAATGAATGAAAGCAACAGAGGGATATTTCAGAAAGATAATTTTTTAGCCATAGGAACTGTCTCAATATAACATATAATGATATCCTTTTCACTGCATAGCTGCTTACCAGGTATTTTATAATGATTAGATGAAAAGGTTTCTTCCAAGACTAGTATTCTAAAGATTTAGAGATTTTCTATTTTCCTTTTCTCATTCATCAAACCCACTTCATTTTTTGAAATAATTTTGCTGTTGTTATTCTTAAACATATGTCATCGTAGTAAAATATATGCAGTGATCTTCAGAACAGGGCTTCTAGCAATTCAATCATATGTGTAGATTCTTGATAATAGTATTAATTAGGTAAGCAGAAAAAAATATGACTTACTGTTTTGGGAACTGAGTAAGATCTGAAAATATTTATGGGATTTGTTGGATTTCTTTAACTTGGCTGCCATGAGATATCTGATGAGAATTTAAATATAATTCCATTGTTTTATTTAAAGTGTCAACAAGGAAGCCTTAAATAGTAGAAATCCTCAACTCCGTAAAGAAGATGACCCAGCATGGAAACCTGTGAAGTTAGCTGGGCCAGGCCAAGGAGAGGTAAGTACTGGGTCTTTTTAAATCTATCTTCTATATGAAATAGGTGCACACTGTTTCGGAAATTATTATTCTTGTAAGTAGAGCACCTCATCTATCCAATTACTCCCAAATGTTTTTAGAGAAAGAAGCCATGAGCTAAGCCTGTTGTGATTAGGATGGTATATTCCAGGCAGGAAAAGTGCCTAAAAACCCAGTTGCTAAGGAAAAGACAATTTGCAAGTGACTTTGTTGACCTAATTTGGCAGTGAAGGATGACATCCTTGGCTGTGGAGAACAGGGTAGATTTAGCTTCCATTCCTGTCCTTGTGCAGAGTAATATATATAAATTCTTTTTGGTCATCCCTGTCACTTTTGGGGTCACTGTGGGGTGGAGGGATATTTCAAGAAATTCATGAGCCTCTGAAGTCTCTCATTGGCATCATCTCCAAACAAAACAAAACAAAACATTGTTGTGTTATTTGTTTTATCATTTGGTCAAGCAGGTTGCCAGACCGGCCCATAAAAAGAAAGCTCGAATGGCGCGGACGCGCTCCGATTTCTTGACTAGAGGTACTTTTGCCGATGGGGAGGGGGATACAGAGGAAGATGATTACGATGACATAATTGAGCCCCTCCTCTCCCTTGACCAAGCTTCTCACTCTGAGCTAGGGCCTGCATCCAGCCTGGGTCAGGCCTCTCACAGTGACTCCGAAATGGTAATTTTACAGCAATATAAGAAAAATAGACAGCAAGCAAATCTGATGGGAATAGTCTTTGCTAATCTAAAGCTAACCTTCACAGCTTCTTCCCATATAATGGTTTGTACATGGGAAAACTCAGTGAACACAGCAACTAAGCTAAACCTTAATTTAATAGAACTCAAAGGGCACTATAACAAATCATAAATTAGGTAAAATTAAGGTTATTTAACTTAGCACTAATGTAGAAATTTTTCTTGATGTATCTTAAAAGGTCTAAGAGTAGTGGCCCTTGCATTTTTTTCTGTAAAGGGCCAGATAATAAATATTTTTAGACTTTGTGGGTCATGCAGTCTCTGTTGCAACTACTTAGCTCAGCTACTATAGTGTTAAAGCAGCCACAGATAATAAGTAGACAAATGGGCATGACTATAATAAAATTGCAGAAAAAGGCAGTAGCTAGCTAGTGTCCATAGTTTACTGATCCCTGGTTAAGTAATAGGGTATATGTTAAATAATCCAGTAGTTTTTAGCTGAAATGGTATTCACTTTTACTTTTTGTTTTTTTTTTTTTGGGGGGGGGTTGCTTTTACATTTGCTTCCCTCCTTCGTTTTCAGTAATAGAAAGTAAACACAAATTTTAAAAAATTGTTTATGACAAGGCTGGGCAACATAACAACATCTCATTTTTACAAAACTGGGTGTGGTGATATGCACCTGAAGCTCCAGCTACTCAGTAGACTGAGGCAGAAGGATCACCTGAGCCTAGGAGATCAAGGCTGTGGTGAGCTATGATTATGCCTCTGTACTCCAACCTGCATGACAGAGTGAGACTCTGTCTCAAAAAAAAATTTTTTAGTGAGTAAAAATGTGTTTTCCTGGATCAATCTAGACTAATATATAATTTGAATTTGTATTAATCACAGATTATAGCATTGGAGTATGTTTGAATAAAGCTGCACTGTTTTTGGCTAAGAATATAACTTTATCATTTTCTCAACCAAAATCAGATATATATGTGGCTTGACAAGTATAAGCGTATTTATGAATGTATTAGAAGCAAAGAATTACATTTTGAAGTTGTCCTAGAAGTACACATATAAGACCCTATATGTTTAATATGAACTAAAACATTATCACTGATGAAGTGGAATGAAATATACATATTTAGATCCAAGATCTTCTCTTCATTGTAGAGTAAACTAACTCCATTTTGGTGCCCTGTATTTGAGTTACAAATAATGAAATATACTCTCCTATATGAGTAGTAGTTAAATATGGAATTATGTAATGGAGCACACTAATTTTAATGAAATGTTCTGCTTTATCTAGTGTGCATAGATTTATCTTTTGTGAAGAATTTATCATTTGTAACTGCTGTTGTTCCTGATAGTTTCCTTTGTAACAACCCTTAGTCCTTTTGGTGGTAGAATCTTTCACACTGGGAACTCTTACTAAGATGACCAGGAAGTTGGGCTTTCTGCTTGGAGTGTTCAGCTCCTTTCAGTGTTCTAGCCTCTGTTCACCTGCTTGACGGTCACTGCATGCAAGTAGTTGTAGAGCACTCCCTGCACAGTGTGTTAGTCACCTCTTCAGCCTTCTCTTTTCCTTCTCTTTCATCACTAGCCATTTTAGGAACAGGTGGCGGTGCTTGTTTCTGGTGGACACGTGCATGAAGAAGCTTTGCTTTCTAGAATACGCTGATAGATATTTACTGGGGTTGGGGTTGGGGAGGGTAGGAACAATTTAAAAATGTATTTCTCTGTTGTTTATCTTGAAAATATGCTGTGTTCTAACATTATATGATATTAAGAAGATGAAAATTGATTATTTCAATATGGAATCTACTAAACATACTTTCTGGATATTAAATGAATTTGATTTTCTGGGCACATTGATTTTAGTTGAATTTTTTGGTTTTTTGTTTGGATATGGACAAGCTGATCCTATCACTCTGAAGTGTGTCATTAAATCTTGGAAGAAATGGCCATCTGACCTTTTTAGTTGTGAAATAACTCATCTAATGGGATAAAGACACTTACAAATGAGTTGAAGGGGATTTCATAAGCATTACCTGTTGAGTTGTTAATTATTAATCAGTTGTTACCTGCTGTTGGGGAGGGGAGACAAGTGTAGTAGTTCCCTCCTTAGTGACTTTGGCATTTTTTAAATACCATTTTTAAATAACTTTGAAATAACTGTTTAGTCTGTGTATGCTGTTCTCACTCCATTTTTATACCCACTGTATTGGCATTTACCCAAGAAGAATGACATGTTCTGCTAGGTAGTATTTTTAAGGTAGCTTTCCTACAGTTATTTAGTCTCTCAGTCTTCTGGATGGTAAGTAGGTTAGTAAAAGAATTTCTTTCCCTTATTTGTAGGATTAGTATAGGAAACATTATACTTTCTCCATGCAGTTTGCTCTACCATCCCCAGACTTAAAGCAATCATCTCATGGATGTGATTCCCAAATTCTCCAGAATTTGTCTTCTTTACCTCCCAACATGGTGAAACTAAATTTCTTGTTATCCTTGCAAAACTCCTGTTACTTCTTATATTCCTATTTCTGTGTGTTATTCTCTGAGATACTCTCCAATCCTTATCTGTGTTGGTTTCTGTCTCTCTGCTGTCTACTCCACAAAAGACTGTCCAGGAAAACCTGTTGATCAAGCAAGGCTAAGTTTATTAGCTTTTTACAAATGGAAAACTCATCTTGGCTGTGTCTTAGTAATGTCTCACAAGGGAGAACTCGGGAGAGGGTATTTATAAGGTTTTAGGACCTGGGCTGGGTTATCTTGAGATGAGTCTTACAAGGTAGAAAACTGGTTGGTGTGGAACATGTTTATTACATAAGAGGTTTGGATTGGCAGCCTAAGACAGCAGCCACACTGTTGAATATACATTATTTTATTCCCCCAAAAAACTATCTGTTCTCTGAAGATTTGGCAGAAGTTTCCTGTGAAATCATCTGGGATTAGTGCTTTCTTTGTGGTGTAATTCCTTGATAAGTTTCTCTGTTTCTCTTAGGTAAATTGGTCTTTTAAAATTTCCATCTAATGGGGTTAATTTTTGTAAACAGATTTTTCCTATGAAATTCTCAATTTTATGTAACTTCTCAGATTTATTTACATATAGGTCTAGAAAGTAAGAACCAGGAATAGGGACTCGTGCCTATAAGCTCAGCTACTTGGGAGAAGGCAGAAGCAGGAGGATCACTTGAGACCAGAAGTCCAAGACCAGCCTGGGCAGCATAGTGAAACTCCCATCTCACAAAAAGGTTTTTTTGATTGGCCTGGTGCAGTGGTGTGCCTGCAAGTCCAGCTAATTGGGAGGCTGAGCTGGGAAGTTCTCTTGAGCCCATGAGTGCAAGGCTGCAGTAAGCCACTGCATTCCAGCCTAGTAAGACCCTGTACCTTTAAAAAAAAAAGGATGTGTTAGACTCAAACAGTATTCAGTCTAGGGCTGATTTATTCGTGAGTATTGGGACATGATCCTGTGTATACTTCACTCAGTGCCTTGAGAATCATAAAGTTATGTATTCCAGGTCTTTGACACCGGCACTATTACTGACCTTTTGTGAGTAATAGGCACTATTGCCTTTAATCCTTTCAAGTGGTCTCTTCCCTGGTTTTGGGCCGTTTTCTTACACAGAAGTGTTGATTAGTACTCAAGCTGAATACTCAGTGGGAATCTTCTGTAGATCTCTAGAGTTCTTTCTTCGTGCATCTCACTCTTCTCCATACTCTGTCTTTTGGTCTCTAGTCACCTTGGACTTTTAGCTTCATGCATTCCACTCAGGGAGTCTGCCAGGTTTGACATGGGTTCCCCTCTCTGGGTTCATACCCTAGAAACTATCTCAAGGCAGTAAGTTGGAGCAGGCATTTGTTTACCATCTCTAGGAGTTATCTGTCCATTGTCTTGGAAACTGCTGTTTCATATTTTTTGGTCTGGGTTTTCTTTGGGGAAAGATGGTAAACTAGGCCCCTGTTACTCCAATTTTTCCAGAAGCAGAGGTCTGTTCTTTAAATCTTAACAACTCAGGATATATTTTTCTTTCTGTCAGTAAGGCAGATAGTCAAACAAACCAAAAGAGTGGATATTATAACCATAGAAAAATGAATTATTAGGAAGTGACTTGTATAGATAACAAGAGATTCTTTCCTCACAATGGAATTATCTTTAGAGAGGCACATTGTAAACAAATGAAATAAGAATTTCCAATTAAAATTCAGGTTCCAGTTTGGTAGCCGTATACATTGTTTATAATTTAGACCATTAGTAATGATAATGACCTTTATTCTTTGGTCTTTGGTTGTTGTTTTTGTTTTTTAATCTTCATGTGTTCTGTCTCTTTTAAATTCTTGACTGGATATAAAAAGAATTTATAATAGCAAGTTAAGTCATAAAAATAATAACTGCCTTCTGGGTTTGAAGGACAATACTTAGAGGTTTGAAGGACAATAAGAGGTTTGAAGGACAATACTTAGCATAGTAGATGTATCAGATCTTGCATCTTTTGTCTGTATCTTTAAATGGTTTTAACTATTTTCTTACCTTTCCACTTGAGAATCTTTGTTCAATTGTAAGAAAATATGAATTAGTGCATCCTGTTCAGCGTTTTCATTGACTAAGTGCTCCTTATTTCCTTTAGGAAGCTAATAGAGTTTTCAGGAGGTTCTATTCAATGAATCTCTGAATAATAAAGAATGTTTTGTATGGTTTTTGATAGCTTAAACAATTCTATAACCTGAGTTTCAATTACAGTGCTCCTATATGTTTACTTGGCTTTAAAGTCTTTCACATATGTAATTATTACAGACATCACAGCGATTTTCTTCAGTTGATGAACAAGCAAAGCTTCATAAGACTATGTCTCAAGGAGAGATTACGAAGTTGGCAGTGAGACAGAAGGCTCCAGATTCGGATATAAGGTATAATGTATCCACAGAGTAGGAGTAATATAATTTTATTTAATAATTGACTGTAGTTCGATACAGAGCCTTTTTTAAAAAAAAACAACAACCCATAATTAATAGAGAAGCCACTTTTCAAAGTAAATTCATTTACCAATTTTTCAAGAAATGTTGAGTATCTACTGTAGACAGGCACATCATAGTTTAGACATATATTAAAGGAGAGAAAAAAATTTTTTTCCCTCAGCCCTCCTATGTTCATAGTTAGGAAAGATTCTTGCAACAAAAAACAGATGAGCAGGAGAAAAACAAGCAAGTTTATTAACTTGTGTAGCGCACATCATGCAGGACAAAAGTAACTCAAAGCAGTGAGTTAGGAGTCTGGTTATACATTGTCTTCAATAGGCCAAGTGCAGTGGCTCATGCCTGTAAATCCCAAAACTTTGGGAGGCTGAGACGGGTGGTTGCTTGAGCCCAGGAGTTTAAGACCAGTCTGGGCAACATAATGAGATCTCGTCACTACAAAAAAAATTAGCCAGGCATGGTGGCGCATGCCTATAATCCCAGTTATTTGAGAGTCTGAGACAGAAGATCTCCTGAGCCCAGGAGTTTGAGACTGTAGTGAGCCATAATCATGCCACTGAACTTCGGTCTGGGCAACAGAGTGAGACCCCAACTCAATATATATATATAGTCTTCAACAAAGAATAATAAAATTTAGAGAATGACAAGACAAACATAAGCAGTTTCAGAATTCTAAAGGTGGAAAAAATGTGGGAGGGTAGATTTATGGGGAAACTAATAAAGTTTGTAGATTCCTCTGATGCTATCCCTAGCATGAGGGTCTACATCTGTTTCCAATGATTAACTTTTGTCCTAGATTGAAAGGGAAAAACACCTTTGCAGATTTATATCCTTCTTTTAGGCAACTAGGGGCGGGAAGAGAACTATTCTGCATCATTTCTTTAATTACCTTTAGCTCAAAAATATTTATGTCAGAGATTTTGAGGTGATATATACTGGTTCCCTTTGGTATAGTGGGCTTTATCTCCCTCTATGCTTAGCAGTATGATTTGGGGAAGGTCTCTACATCATTATATGACTTGTGGTCTTTTGTTGTAAAAGAGGATTCAACCAGATAAAATTAAAAATATGTTCCAGCTTTGGACTTGGATTCTGTTCTGAGCCAAATGTTTTAGAAATGAAACTGGAAAGGACTTTCAGGAAATAATTCTGTTGTCTTTAAGAGAACTTGTCGAATTATTTTTCAGATGACTATTTTTGTCTCTTATTGTGTTATATAAGCATTTGAACTCTAACAGAAAACTTCAAGGTTACGTTAAAATGTTTCTGTTTTATAGCCCTATTAAAGACCACTTTCTCACTGACTATCGAGGTATAATCTAAGGTAACCCAAATCCAGATCAGATAATACTGGAAGTCAAATACTGAAAAACAAGATATGACATAGTAGAAGAACATATACCAGGAAAGAATCGAGTAAATATATATATTTATTTTCCACTTTCTCCTCCAAAATTGCTAACATAGCAAAACCTACAAAGGAATTTTCTGCCCACAAAATCCCCAGAAATGAAGATGACAGCTATATAATTATGAAATATAAAAAGTAAATAGACTTTAAATTTTAAATGTTTTAATAGAAGAACGCTGGATCCCAAACCAACTGGATAAAGCTGAGAAAGCAGCATCTCCTAGCAGAAAGCAAATTTACTCCCTGGAAAGGATAACACAGAAGACCTCTGGATTTACAGTTGCGGGCTGGGCACATATTTGGAACAAGGGGATTTAATGACTGTTGAATGTTAAGATCCCCTAGCTTTTTTCCTTGCTCAGTGCCCCCATTTCCTGTACCCTCTAAGCAACTTATATAAAGAGTTTGGGGGACTTTTGTCCAGGGCTTAAGGAAAGACTTGAAGATATTACTATCAGGGGCTCTCCCTGCAAAATCAACCAGCCAGATAACCCTATGAGGAAGACCATAGTTTACAAACTTTGCCAATGCACACTAGAGCTTCCAAGCAGTTTTTTAAAAACTCTACTTTTAATTATAATCAGATACCAGCGATCGCCATACATTTGAGGAAATACCTTATCTTGAAGAAACCAAAACTGACAGATGAAATACAGCTTGGAAGAAACAAACTGCGGGGGACAGAAAATGTCAAGACAGAAAATAAAACCCTCAACAGACTTTCTCCATAATAAATATAATTGCATTCGTGAAACCAAACAGGGTGCATGAAAGAGAAACATTCATAATAAAAAGAGCAACTCAGAAGAGTTGGAAGGAAAGTTGAGGACATTACTCAGAATGCTGAACAAAAAGATGAAGAGATGGAAGGGATGGGAATATTAGAAGGTCAGTTCAGGAGAAGGCAGAAGTGAGAAAATGGAGAAAGGCAAGTTCTTAGTAATTTCCAGATTGGAAGGGCCTGCTGAGTACCCAACATAATGGATAAAGACAGACCTATATCAAAAGAGGTCTTTATAAAACAAGAGACTAAAGGAACTTCTATTATGATGATGAATGTAACTTTTCAAAGGCAGCTGCAAAGCAAGCCATTAGAGAAAACACTCCAAACTGGAGCGGGTTAGAAGACTGTGAGAGAGATTTCTGAAAGAAGATAAAACTGATGGAGATCCTAATATGTTTGAATATATTGAGAAGAAATACACACAAATGGGGGAACACTTGGAGGTGAATTTTATGTAGAAAAATGAGCAAATGAAAAATTATTTTCATGAGCAAATTTTTAAAAGCCTTTGGAATAAAGTAAGTCATTTAGGGAGAGACACAACTCAACTATGACTATTATTTATGTAATAAAAATACAGTTTGAATATTACTAAAAAGCAAATCCTGAATATTGATCTAATTAAATGTACAGTATAAATCTGGGAGTCCATGTTTGTGATGAGGATAGGACAGGCATGGTGGAGCATGTGTAATCCTTATCTGTAGTCATGGGTATAATAGCAGTAGAAGCATGTTAAATGTCAAAAGAATCAGTTCAATCAAAAGGGTTGCCCCCAAGGAGCAGAAAGTGGGGTGAGGATGACAGGAGCATGCTGTTGTTTGTAATAAGTCTTACAGAACGATTTCTCTTTTTGATATATGAATATATAAGTTCAGTAATAATCGCTTTTTTTTTTGAGTTGGAGTCTCACTCTGTCACCCAGACTGGAGTGCAGTGGCCGCTCCCGGCCACCGCAGCCTCGACCTACTGGGCTCCGGCGATCCTTCCACCTCAACCTTCCAAGTAGCTGGAACTACAGGCACGTGCTATCATGCCCGGCTGATTTTTTGATTTATTGTAGAGATGAGGTCTCGCTGCCCAGGCAGGTCTCGAACCTGCGGGCTCAGGCAATCCACTCACCTCAGCCTCCCAAAGGCGCAGGATTACAGGCTGAGCCACTGAGCCCGGCTAAAACCGCTTTTTAAGAAAAGAAAGGACAAAAGAGCATGGGCTTTAAAACCAGATAGACTTGATTTTAACTTCCATTTCCACCAACCTTCTGAGCCTCAGTTTGTTCTTGTGTAAAAGTAAGAATAATAATGCTTATTTATCATGGTAGTTGTGAAAATTAGGGGCATCATATGCATATGTAAGGCATAGTACTTGTCACCTAGTTGATGCTCACATATTTTTTTAATTAAATAAACATACAGATGAACAGACAATGTACAAATAAAACTCTGAGTACAGGGTTAGAATACATAATGTATGGTCAGTAAATGCAAGCTGTTGTTATATCAAAGTACTTCCTTGATTTATATGATGAAAGAGTAAGTACTAAGTAGAGGCAGTAAGGAATAGTAGATGTGGTTCTCAACTCTGTCATTCACTGGCTGTGTAACCTTGGGAAAGTCATCTAATGTTTAAATCTCTATTTTTTAACATGGAAAATATTTATAGTAATTTTTGAAAGCAAAGATGTTATAATTAAATAAGATAATACTGTATAAGCACTCAGCACTTAGCACTATGCCTGGAATAAGATAAGAGATCAAATAAGTAGTGGCTGTTGTAAGTAATAATATTGATAACTCATGAATATAAATTAATGTTATTAAACCTATTATGTAATGATGAGAAGAAAGATTTAAATTATGTCTGCATTGTGGTAGCAGTAATGTAAAAATTTGGCATGCTTGTGGATAAAGACTAGAAGACAATTACAAAAACATATAAACTAACATTTTTTAGAGTGGGAGGATTATTTGCAATTTCTTTAAAAACCATTCTTTGTTTTAAAATTGTGTATATACTAAATTCAAGCTAGATGGAGGACAAGAATGGAAAGATACTAGTTTAGAGATGAGAAAACCTGAGTTGGAATCCTAGTTCTACTGTTTTATACCTGCTTTATTTTGGGAAATTATTTAACTTCTCTGGATCTTATTATTTGTATATTAATGAGGAAACTCTGCCTTCCAGGTGAAGTTTAAACACGAAATTGAAGATTAAATGCATTTCATTTAAATGTGAAAGTTAAATATGCTAACATACATGAAAAGTTTATAAAATTTAAAGTGATATACAGATATTATCACTGGGACATGCTGATTTCCACTTTTATCTTTATTTTTTTAAACAGACCTCAGAGAGCTAAGATGAGATTCTGGGCCAAAGGCAAACAAGGGGAGAAGAAGACTACCAGAGTGAAACCTGTTGCCCAGTCAGAAGTTTCAGCATTCTTTGCGGGCTCAGATGTGATCCCAGCTCATCAGTGTCCAGATGGTAAGATGGTAAAAATGGCCAAAGGGTAGAGCTTGTCTTCATAATTTGTATTTACTCTTTCTGAATGCTTGCTATTCATAATGGCAGTCCTGTTGGTTAGGTATTCTGAGATAGGACCAAAATTGCAAAATCCTTCCTTTAACTAAAAGGTTAAGTTATATTGTGCCTATAATCAAAGTTCCAGAAAAAGGTGTCGCAAAAAAATGACACAACTACCTCAAAAATGATTAATCTAGCTGGGTGCAGTGGCTCACGCCTGTGATACCGGCACTTTGGGAGACTGCGGTAAGAAGATTGCTTGAGCTCAAGAGTGCAAGTCCAGCCTATGCAGCGCATAGCAAGACCTCACCTCTACAAAAAAAAATTTTTTTAATTAGCTGAGCTTGATGGTGCACGCCTTTAGTCCCAGCTACTCAAGAGTCTGAGGCGGAAGGATCACTTGAACTCAGGAGGTTGTGGTAAGCCATAATTGTGCCAGTACACTCCAGCCTGGGTGACAGTGATACCTTGTCTCCAAAAAAAAAAAAAGATTATGAATCTTAGGTTAACCTTAGTTTTCTAACCTATAAAAATGTAGTCATCATTTAATAACTATGTATTATTGCAGTAATAACAGCAGCTAATATTTGAGTGCTTATTACACATAAGGCACTATAATAAGTATATTTATTAACTCTGTTGGTCCTCATAGCAGTTTTTTGAGAGTTGGTTTGATTATTATTTCCAATTTATAAGTGAGAAAACTCAGGCACAGAGAAGTTATTTATGTATCCATATATGGCAACTGGAAAACCTGAGATCTGGATCCAGGCAATCCAGCTCTAGAGTCCACATTCTTAACCACTGTATTGTATATTAAGTACCTGCTATTCATCAACACCTAGCAGATGCCTGGTACTTTATGATATAGCTTTTAGTACTTTTTTTTTTTAAAGAAATAAGGCCTCATTCTGTTGTCTAGGCTGGAGTGCAGTAGGGTGATTATAGCTTAATGTAACTTCAAACTTCTGGGATCAAGCAGTCCTCCCTTCTCAGCCTTCTCAGTAGCTGGGACTATAGATGTGTGCCACTATGCCTGGCTAATTTTTTATAGAGATGGAGTTTCACTATGTTGCCAAAGCTGGTCTTGAATTCCTGGCCTCAAGTGATCCTCCTGCCTTGGTCTTCCAAAGCACTAGAATTACAAGCATCAGCCACTAAGTCTGTCCTGTAGCTCTTAACTTTTTGGGCGTGTACATACACTTGAAATTACCCAACCGTTCATCTGTTGAGAAAACTGACCTTTCTAAATGCTAAAATTATTTACTCTTCAAGAATTCTAGTAATCCCAATATTAACCCTTTGCTCTTGGAAACATCTTGTGAATCACCTGCCAGCAACTCAACCATACTTTTTTTTTACAAAATAGTAAAAACCAAATCTTTTCTTCATATTAAATAGTATAGAGTTGGAATCAATTATCTTATTGTAATGTTATTTGGCTTATAATGAAATTTTGGACATTGAGAAACTTATTTGTGAAAAAAACAAAATTTTATATCTTATATTTTTCTAGTGTATGGTAACATGTGAAACAGTCACATGCATTGTAGGTTCATTGATACATGTTGTGCAATAGTAATTTGTTGGACATCTTCCAACTGGTATTTTTCTATTTGAGCAGACAATGCAGTCTTGTTTTCCCGCCACACTAATAATATGTAATTTATTGTCCAGTCTGTTGTTCAAAGACAATGTGGAAGGATGCACTTGTGATTCCTGAAAACTACTTGTCAACTGATCAATCATATCATCTCTTTATTTGCTTTTTCGTACAGTTTGATTGGAAAACCTCAAAGAAACATACAATTTTAAAAAATTGAGCTTGCATAACTTTGTTCTATATAATGACCAGTAGTCTCTTCATGTCCCCTGAAAGGGAACATCCAAGTGATTTGCTAGATTTACTATGTCACCTCAGAGGGGATATCCGAGTGCAAAGAGTTGAAAGATTACCCTCTTCTTCCCAAGCCTTTTTCCCAGGCATGCCTAAAAGTTTTTAGCTACTTTGTAAAGATGTCAACAGGGATGTACATCAGAGATGGGTTTATGGTAATGTATGAAATATGGGTTTATGAGTGGGTTTATGGTAGTGGGTGAAATATCAGCATTGACTAAAATAGAAAGAGATCCTAGGAAGAAAGCTGTTATCTTTTAACAGATATAGACCCAGTTAATAATTAGGCACAATCTTCTCATATCTAGGGTAAGATAGAGGGCCAAGGAAGAAAGTTGATTAACTTCACATAGGAATGGATGAGCTGGAGCTCTGTTTGTTAGAAGAAAGCATAGTGGAGATGTAGTTAGAACCCTGTTTTCCTGTCATATGGCTTTGCTCCTATCTGTTGACAAATGGATGTGATAAAACCAGTAATAAGTCAAGTAGATGCTACAGTTTCGGATTGGAAAACTTGGAATTCCCTACCATTGTGTTACTAAGGTGATTAATTTATCTTGTCTAGTTGACAGTAATTATTCTAAATTTTTAATTTTCTACAATAATATTCTTTGCTGCTAATTCCTGAATAAGAAGTATAAAGCTCTTTATTTGAAAATTTGTATTCTAATTAGACTTCATGTATGTACTTCATAAGAACACATATAAAAGTTAGGATTATAGCTTTTCAATTTATATCTGGTTTAAAATTTATTAAGGTAGCTTTTGTTTTTAATGCTAAAATGGGATTATAGACTATTTCTTTAGTAACCATTATTTATTATAAGATAGATACTGGCTTTACTAAATGAAGTAATTAGATACATATGTATATATATATGTTATATAACAGAATTAAAATCAGTTGATGCCAGTTTGAATATAATTGTGTCCTGTATCTTTATATCCTTTATCCTGGTATCATGGCTGAGATTGAGTTTATCTCAATTCCTGCCTGAGGTGGTATTTAGCATGTAGGGAGCTACATTTTATTATCAAAGTTAAAAAGAAAAAATTCGGATTTACCATTGGACAGAGGGTAACGAGTATACGTTGGGGAAACAGCACATGTGAAAAAAGAAATCAACTTTCTCGTCAAACTCCATATAGGGCTTTGGCAAATCCATCTAGTTCTAGATTGTAATGGACTATGTGAAATCTTATTTCTCATATAAATAATTGCAGAGAAAAATTGTTCTGTTTCTCAATATTATGTACAAGGCCAGTTTATTCCAGGAATTCTATGAGAAATTCAGACATACATTTGGAGAATGTATGAGAAAATCCCGAACACTAAAGAGACCCAGGCAGAAGTAAGTCAGTTGAATTACCTGGCTCCCTGACAGGTTGCCAGGCCATCACCAGATACTATCACTTGAAAATAAAGAAATAACAATAGTTACCAAACTCCACTGTTTTATTGCACTGAAATATAGCTGGATGTTTTCTCAGACACGTAGCAGCGTTATGACTGAGTTAATAGCATTTAACGTGGTACCATGGTCATATCTTCTTTTCCTTGGGACTGAGGTCTTTGGGATACAGATGGATGTTCTACAAGGTATTCCCAGTCAGATTTTCAGTATGACACCTTAGCTTCTTGGGAGACATGATAGCATTTCCCTTTAAAAAATGGTAATTCTTAAATACGTTTTCTGTACAAATTTGCAATCCGGACTTATTGCCTACCTGCCCAACCTCAAACATTAGTGTTACTTTGTTTTTGTATATTTGCATATGTTTCCTTCCATGACTTACTTAAGAATCTTTTAAAAAAGAATGTGGGTCAGGTACAGTGGCTCACACCTGCAATCCCAGCACTTTGGGAGGCTGAAAGGAGAGGATCACTTGAGCCCAAGAGACCAGCCTGGGCAACATAGTGAGACTTTGTGTCTCCAAAAGAAATTTAAAACTTAGCCGTCTGTAGTGGCACATGCCTGTAGCCCCAACTACTTGTTGGAAGGATCGCCTGAGCCCTGGAAACTGAGGCTGTGGTGAGCCATGATCATGTTACTGCATTCTAGCCTGGGTGGTGACAGAGTGAGACCCCTCAACTAAAAAAAAAGAAGGCGCAGGATGTGGAGATTATCAATACTTATTCAAAATGTGTCTATTTATGTACCCTGTCTGGAACTGTAGAATTAGCTCAGCATCACCCAACACCACCTTTGAGCCCAGAACTGCCTGGGAGTTGCCGGAAGGAGTTCAAAGAGAACAAAGAGCCTTCTCCAAAGGCCAAGCGCAAGCGAAGTGTGAAGATCAGCAGTGTGGCCTTGGATTCTATGCATTGGCAAAATGACTCTGTCCAAATCATAGAAAGTGCCAGTGATTTAAAAAGCATGGATGAATTTCTTCTGAAAAAGGTATACTTTGTTTGCTGAGTAGGCCTCTGAGCAGCTTTAGCTGTGAAATGCTTCTATACATGAGGATATGCCCTCTAGAGATCAAGGTTACATATGTTTCAACTTAGGTGTTATATTCTTTTCATGAAAGGTACAAGAAGTAGTGTATGCACTAACCAGAATTTTAAGTTTTGGACTTTACTGTTTTGCTATACTTGTCTTGTTACTTTTCATATGCTAGGTACAGCTTATTACACATTGGAGTTGTTTTCCTTGTAACAGAACTATAGAATCATACAATGTGAGAAGGGGCCTTAGGAGTTACCTATTAGTAATACTTGTTTGAGGTTCTGTTCATTCTTTTTCCTGGGTCTCATATGGTAGCCTTGGCTTTCACTTTAAGGACAGTATGAAGAGATAATACATGTCTACTGTTGTATTGGCCTCTTTTGAGTTAGTTGATTGTGTACAAAAACTCTTTCTGTTGTTCCCAGATGAATGACTTAGATAATGAAGACAGTAAGAAGGATACATTAGTGGATGTTGTATTTAAAAAAGCCTTGAAAGAATTTCGGCAGAATATCTTCAGCTTTTATTCATCTGCATTGGCAGTAAGTAGAAATATGTATACAACAGTGCTGTAGAAGATAATACAGAGGCCATGTTTAACAAGAGATTTCTCTAGTTCCTTGTTTTTGTTTTAGGGATAGGTAAGAAAAAGTATACTGAATGATTTTAGGTTAGTAGCTTTTTTGACTTTCCTTGAGTGGTGTTTTCTCCATGGGTATTTTTTCATCTTAAGATATTGACTTTGCATTTGTATACCTAACCCTGAATTGTACCCCATATTTAAAATAAAATATTTTTTAAAAGGGTGGGCCATTGCCTTACTAGACTCTCATGTGGTGGTGTGTTCATTGAGCTATGGCCGTCGCCATGTTTCTTGGCTTTGGCCCCCTTCCCTATCCTGGTAAGGTGAATCTCCTCTTTCTTTCTTTCTCTCTCTCTCTCTCTCTAATTTACTTTCTAAATAAACTGTATTTTCTAATCTAAAAAAAAAAAAAGATATTGATTTCGGCTATCTTGGGTATGATGCCATTTTATCCAAGGCTTTCTAGTATTTTAACTTTTCATTATCCTTTTAACTCAATTGCTAAGCTCTAACTTCTGATTCACCTATGTGTGAAATGGACTTAGTGCATTTTTTTCCAATAGAATTAAGGCAGTTTATGGATACCGATTCCTACATATCGATTTATGTCACCTTGAAATTTACCTTATGCCATACTTTCACATGATATTGGTCATATTTTAGAAAATGTATTTTTGGTGCTAAAGTATATAATAATTATTAATAAAGAAGCATTAATATTTATGAACTGTCATATTTCATAAAAATAATTCAAGCCGGGCTTGGTAGCTCAGCCTGTAATACCAGCACTTTGGGAGGCTGAGGTGAGTGAATTGCCTGAGCCCACGGGTTTGAGACCCGCCTGGGCAACTTGGCGAGACCTCATCTCTACAATAAATCACAAATTAGCCGGGTGTGGTAGTGTGCGCCTGTAGTTCCAGCTACTTGGAAGACTGAGGCAGAAGGATCGCTAGAGTCCAGCAGGTCGAGGCTGCAGTGGCCGGGAGCGTGGGTGACACTGCACTCCAGTCTGGGCGATGGAATGAGACTCCGACTCAAAAAATAATAATAATAATAATCATACTTTATTGGTTTTTCTTTAATATATTCTTTACTATGAAAAGAAGAATCAGGAAAACTTTTTCATGTATATTCTACTTTTATATTTTTTTCGTCATAAGTTGTCTTGCTGTTTAAAAGCAGGAAGCGGCCGGGCTCAGTGGCTCAGCCTGTAATCCCGCGCTTTGGGAGGCCGCGGTGAGTGAATTGCCTGAGCCCGCGGGCTCGAGACCCGCCTGGGCAACTTGGCGAGACCTCATCTCCACAATAAATCAAAAAATTAGCCAGGCGTGGCGGTGCACGCCTGTAGTTCCAACTACTTGGAAGGCTGAGGCGGAAGGATCACCGGAGCCCAGCAAGTTGAGGCTGCGGTGACCAGAAGTGGCCACTGCACTCCAGTCTGGGCGACTGAGTGAGACTCCAACTCAAAAAAAAAAAGAGAAAAAAAACCTCCCAAAAAACAGGAACCATGCAGGCTGAGACAGCAGGAATTTTAAAGCTGTAATAAAGAAGTAATCAGCCTATAACAAATTACTGGGTGTGAGGAGGGACAAAGTTGTCTACATTTTTCCAGTCCTACCCAGCTTTTTAACACTTTCACCTCTTTCCCTGCTTCATACCTGTATTTCCTAGTTTGGGACTCGTGGGTGTTGGATGACCCAATGCACTTTGAATTATACAGGAAAAGTCAACATTATGAAGCAGAACTCAATAGTGGTTTTCTACCCTGGATCAAAAACACTCAACCTCTAAATCTGAAGAGGTGAAAGAGAAATAAACTCTAAATGTGTATTATACTTTTTGATCACTTAAAACCTCTTTTTTTAAAAAGTAAAGAATCTAGATTTCAGTTAAATAAAAGGAATTCCATTTCTATTCCTTTGCAAGTGATATATGATTTTACTCAGGGTATATTACTCTTTGGAAAAATATAATAGGCCGGGCTCGGTGGCTCAGCCTGTAATCCCGCACCTTTGGGAGGCTGAGGTGAGTGAATTGCCTGAGCCCGCGGGTTCGAGACCCGCCTGGGCAGTGAGACCTCATCTCTACAATAAAATCAAAAAATCAGCCGGGCGTGGTAGCGATTGCCTGTAATTCCAGCTACTTGGAAGGCTGAGGCTGCGTTGGCCGGGAGCAGCCACTGCACTCCAGCCTGGGCGACAGAGTGAGACTCCAACTCAAAAATGAATACATAAATAAATAAATAATAATAAAAAAGGTTAACTAATATATCATTAGACAAAGATCCAGGTATTCATTCTTTCCATTTTAGAGTAGAACTGTCTAAACAAGATTCATTTCTAGAGAGGTAAGTAATTAAGAGGGTTACTTATAATCTTTATAGCATAAAATTTAAAAAACAGACTTAAGGGAGAAACTTTCAGGATTTCTTCAAATTGTTATTTGGTTTAAACTATTAGATTTTTTACTAAAACTTAGCAGGTTTTATTCTGCATCAGTTCATACTAGAATGGGAGTCAACCACGTGACCTCCTGGCATGATCATCACAAAGAGTATCAGGATCCTAATCTGTATCCAAATACTATCCAGTACATGTTTAATTATTCTCCTATATTTAAAGAATTTCTTCAGAAAACCTTACATTTTTTTCTCTTATTGCTTGTTAGATGGATGATGGGAAAAGCATACGGTATAAAGACCTCTATGCACTATTTGAACAGATTTTGGAAAAGACCATGAGACTTGAGCAGCGTGATTGGCATGAATCTCCCGTGAGAGTTTGGGTCAATACTTTTAAGGTGTTTTTAGATGAATATATGAATGAATTTAAGACTTCAGAATGCACAGCCACAAAGGTAAATGTGATATATTTCTACTTCTAAAAGGATTTAATTGTTAATTATTTTTAAGAGTTTATTTGGGACTTTAGATCCTCCAAACTCCATTCAGACTTAGAGTTCATCAGGCTGTATTTCCTAAATTCTCTGCCACAGGGCAACCCCTTCAGGTCCTCTCCCACTGTGGGAGCTTTACTGTCCTCTCAATAAATCCTGCTTTCTAAAAAAAAAGAAAATTCTCTGCAATAAGTACAGTCTTCACTGAGTTAAACATAATGTTGTGCCCTCAAAATGTACTCTTGCTGACTCTTCAGAATTAGGAGAAAAATAAAAATAAAAATAAAAAAAGAGATTATACTCTTAGTTTTAAAATAGAGATCAGTACCTGAATTTTCTTTTGAAAACTAATGATTAGGCCAGGTGTGGTGGGTCAAGCCTGTAATCCCAGCACTTTGGGAGGCCGAGGGGAGAAGATTGCCTGAACTCAGCTGTTTGATACCAGCCTGGGCAACTTGATGAGACCTCATCTCTACAATAAATTAAAAAATAAGCTGGGCATACTAGTGCATGCCTGTAGTTCCAGCTACTTGGAAGGCTGAGATGGAAGGATCCCCTGAGCCCAGCAGGTCAAGGCTGCAGTGGCCCTGAGCGTGCTACTGCACTCCAACCTGGGCAATAGAGTGAGATTCTGACTCAAAAAAAAAAAAAAGGAAAATAAAAAGAATGATTAAAGATATGATTCATTGTATCATCTAGTGACCTTTACACAAGGACTCACAGATCATATTTCCTCTTGAATTAGGTTTCACGAAAATGTGTGTTTCAGAAATCTGTACAATATAATAGCCTTTTTTATTTTTTTGTGTGTGTGTTGGGTCTCGAACCCGCGGGCTCAGGCAATCCACTCACCTCAGCCTCCCAAAGGCGCGGGATTACAGGCTGAGCCACCGAGCCAGGCTAGCCTTTATTTTTTTAGTGCCTTTTATTTTGCAAGAATTGTATTAGGTGTTAGGTATTTTACTTAATTCTTGCTTCAGCCCTATTAAATAAATATTATGAAATCCATATTACAAAAAAGATAGCCAGCTTAGACAAAATTTTCAATGTATTTCTCATCAGTGACCCAGGTGAAATAACTAGGTACCTCTTCAGATCAAGAATACCATCAATAGTTTGTATAGATTTTGTTCCATTTTATTTTTAGTTATTCTAGTTTATATGTATTTAAATTTGCAAGTCCTCTTAAATCATTTTTGAAGTAGTCAGACTTAAAGAAGTCCTTGTAAGTCTTTCTGTTCTAAATACAATCCAAGGTCCTAATTTTATGCTGAAGAAGATTCTTAGTAGTCTTATACTGCCTTTGTTTATAAGTTTAAATTACTAGGTTTAAATTGTTCTGTATTATGGTTATCAGGAAATTTCGTATGTAAAAAGACTTTGCTATGTCCCACATGATATCTTTTTATATTTAGCTCTGTGATAACTTTTTAGAGCCAAACTATGGGAAATAAAATGTTTAAAACAAATAATTATTTAAATAATGGTTAAAATAAAATAATCATTCAAATTAATATGGTATAACTTCTGGGCAGAATTGAGGTTTTAACAGAGAATGATCTCTAAAGTGTCTCTCCATTCTATTACTTTCATTATGTTTTATCATACTTAAACATTTTTCTCACATTTGCTGATTGGCACTGCAGAGTTCCTCTTAAATAAAGAGCTGCTTATTCTATTACCTATGAGCAAATATCTCAGCATTTGCAAAGAAGAAAGAAAGTACGTTAGTCCTTATTATCACAGTTTCTATATTTCTCTCTACTCCCTACCAGGTGCCAAAAACAGAAAGAAAGAAAAGAAGGAAAAAAGAAACTGATTTGGTAAGTTATAATCTATTTTTTATGTTAGGAAAAAGAAATTTTCAGATCAGTGGTCTAAAATATTCCATACAGTATATATTTATTTGGATATATTTAAGGAATAAGTTTATCAGGTACCTAGGCAGTAATCATTTATAAAAATGTAGAAGGACATGTGCCTTGAATTCACTGACTGGACTTGCTATCAAAGGTGGCTCCCTAAAATGGCAGAAAAGTGAAATTAGTTACTCATGAAAGCTACAAAAAATGATTTCTTTTCAAAACTAGGATGGGGAGGGAGCTCTTTAGGAGTTTGTTTGTCCCTTCTAAAGAAAATGAGATTTAGGATTTTATAAATAAAGTACTTTCCACTCAAAATATATTTCCAAAAGCATTTGAGCAAGTTTTACCATTGTTCATGTTTTCATCTATTGTATTATATATCGCTGTTGTATGATTTATGTAATTACAAGGATGAAATTAAACCCTCTGCATACTGCTAGAGATGTGGGGGAGCACACAATAACAATAAGAGTACTGATCTCAAACCAGGCGAAGTGGGAACCAAAGGGAGGCCCAAACTTTACCTGTATGATGACCACTTGTATACCTAATCTGAATTATACCCCACATCTTTAAAATAAAACCAAAATTTCTAAAAAAGAAATGCATAATCTTATTAGTGGAGGCAGAAATTTTTAAAAATTATTACTGTCAGATATGATAAATATTATAGTAGTTATAGTACAAAGTGCTGTTGAAGTATAGAGAGAAAATGAAGGAATGCTTTATAGAAGAAAAAATATGTTTGCTAATTCTTGGCAAGCAAGTAGTGGTTTAGACAGGCAGTATCTGGCCAGTGGAAAAAAGTATATACACATGTGTTTGTTGAGCCAGTAGCTTTGATTGGCTCCAGTGTTGTGTGTATATAGGAGTGGCTGGGAAAGAAGGTAGGGGTCTGATCAAGACTCTATCTTCAAAAAATCTCTTACATTTCATGTCACCTCCGCTGCTGTCATGATAGTCCAAGGCACTGTATATAGTCTCATACTGGTCTGCCTTCTTGTACCTTTCTCCTTTATAATTCTCTACATAATAGCTATAGTGACTCTTTAAAAACAAAAACCTAAGCCTGGCTGGGTGGCTCAGCCTGTAATCCCGCACTTTGGGAGGCTGAGGTGAGTGGATTGCCTGAGCCCACAGGTTCGAGACCCGCCTGGGCAACTTGGCGAGACCTCATCTCTATAACAAATAAAAGAATTAGCCGGACGTGGTAGCACGCATCTGTAGTTCCAGCTACTTGGAAGACTGAGGGGGAAGGTTCACCAGAGCCCAGCAGGTCGAGGCTGCAGTGGCCGGGAGCGGCCACTGCACTCCAGTCTGAGTGACAGAGTGAGACTTCAAGTCAAAAAAAAGAAAAACAAAAATCTGATTATATCCTTCCTCTGCTCAGAACTCTTTAGGGATTTTCAGTGTTTCTCAGAATAAAACCTAAGGTTCTTATCATTCCTACAAGACAAGATCTTGAACGTGACTGCCTCTCAGATTCATTTCCTCCCACTCTCCCTCTCCCCCTTGTTCCCTCTGTTTCAGCTTCATTTGCTGCCACCACTTGCCGTTTCCCCTCCTCCTCCTATCTTCTTTACTCTGCCCTGAAAATGTTAAGCTTTAGGGCCTGCAAAACCTGGATTTACCCCAGCCAATAGCAAATTCTAATTCTAGGATATTTATGATCTACCTTACTAGTAGATCTGGGTTATAAATCATCCCTCCTCACTTGTAACCAAAATTCTGAGATCTTTTAGATCCTTGTTTGTAACTTTTCCACTATCTGTGTTGAAAGTGTGATCTAATTCTTTGTATAGATTATCTGCCTGTTGAAAAGTTTCTGCCTTTTCGCAGGCACAGAATCCTGAAAGTAGTATGCCTAATCCTTTAGCCTCATTTATTTTGTTCTCCAAGTAGGATTTTCTAGTTGTAAAACCTTGGACAGCTTAATCTCTGAGTCTCAATGTCCTCATCTATAAGACAGGAATAATGCCACCTACTGCTAAGGACTTTTTTGAAATTAAATAAGATTTCATACAAAAGCAAGGGGAGGGAAGGCAGAGGGTCTGTTATTAACAGGTTTGTTTAGGCACTTTCAGCACTTTAAGTCTTATAAAAGTAGTTATTCATGTTAATAAGGAAAAGAACAACACCTCAAAATGAAAATGAACAAAAAATAGGAATAGACAATTTATTCAACAATTGTTTTTATTCAACAACTATTTTATTACATTTCAGGGACTATAAGAAGTACAATTCAAAGAAAGTAATGTTAAAAACACAAATAAATGTTTGTCTTGTTAGCAGCCAAGTTAGAATGAAATAATAGTGACTTTTCCACTTTTTCTATCCATGGACAAAGCTCAAAATAAATTAGTTACCTGTAGTTTGGAAGGCTAAGTAAAGATAGATTTTTCAATACTACAAATGGGGTGTAATTTTGCATAACCTTCTTGAAAATGTACTTTAGCAATGATATATTAGAAACCTTTAAAATGTTAAAGGAAAAAAAGATCACTTTGGCTTAGCAATACTATGTCTAGAAATTTATCCAGTAGTCTTATCAATCACATTTTTTCACACTGACTTGTACAAGACTCTTTACTGAAGAGAGTGAGACTTCTAGATAGATAAATTTTTCTATTCTCTTTGTAATAGTGAAAGACTGAAAACAACCTAAATAGAGTGATTAAATAAGTTAGATACATCTATGTAATAAGATGGTTCTTAACACTAAAGGAAAAGAAGACATTTGCCAAGATGTTTTGTTAAGTAAAAAGAGCAAGGAGCAAAATACTGTATAGAAAGCTACTATTAGCCGGGCTCGGTGGCTCAGCGTGTAATCCTGCGCCTTTGGGAGGCTGAGGTGAGTGGATTGCCTGAGCCTGCGGGTTCAAGACCCGCCTGGGCAGCGAGATCTCATCTCTACAATAAATAAAAAAATCAGCCAGGCGTGGTAGTGCATGCCTGTAATTCCGGCTACTTGGAAGGCTGAGGCGGACGGATCGCCGGATCCCAGCAGGTCAAGGCGGCGGTGGCCAGGAGCAGCCACTGCACTCCAGTCTGGGCAACAGAGTGAGACTCCAACGCAAAAAAAAAAAAAAAAGAAAGCTACTATTTGTATTAAAAAGAAAAAAAAACCTTAAAAATATCTTTACATCTGTACTCTTACATACATAAACACACATAAAATATCTGGGAGTATACAGAAGTAACTGACAGCAGTGATTATTTCTATAAAATGGAACTAGATGATTGGGGTTCAAAGCTAAAAGAAAGACTTATTTTTCATTGCTTCCATTTACAAACTTCCATTTACTTTTTTGATGAGGTACATACAGTATATCCATTCAGAATAAAGTAATTTTAAATTGATATATGCTATTTTACATATTTATGGAGTACATGTATTTGTTGCATGCATAGAATGTGTAATGATCAAGTCTAGGTATTTGGGATGTCCATCACCTTGAGTATTTATCGTTTCTATGTGTTGGGAACATTTCAAGTCTTCTCTTCTAGCTATAGAATAAAGTGATTTTTAATAAAAATTTTAATGAAATTGACTTTAATATTAGAGCAGTAGAAGAAAATAATATTTGTGTGATTTACAATTATAAGGCTATCTATGAGATGAGATGCTAATGTCTGGGAATTTTTGAGATGCTATAGAGCAAGGCCATATGAGACTAGGGTCGATGAACCACGAGTTGATTTTTTTTTCTTTTCTTTCCTCCTTCTCTTGAAAATTTTTTTTAGTTAGTGGATTACTTAATTTATTAAGGAAAATAATACTAATACTCTTCTGCCATGTAGTTGGGATTAATGGTATTCTTGGTCTGGTTCTGTTTTGTCAGCATCATCTTTTAAAATTTTTAGCTAATTTTTTTCAATTAAGAAGGTTGTCTGAATTGTACCCCACATCTTTAAAATTAAAAATTAAAAAAAGAAAGTCATATGACCATGATAATTTAAAATAATAGTCATTATAAAGTAAGCCTCTTTCCCAGCCCTTCTTCCCAGAGATAACCACTGTTACCAGTTTTTTTGTGATGTTCCAGAAATGCCATGAACCCATAAAAGTATGTGTAGATATATAATCCTCCTCTTTTTTCCAGATATTCTAAGTGGAATTATTTTGTTACTGTTTATAAGTTGGTTTATTTATCACAGAAATGTTAATTCCTGGGTTCTTTTTTTTTAATGCTACTGGGTTTTTCTTTCTTATATAAATTTTTATATAACTATTAATTTTTTTCCTTTTTTCATACTTTTTCCTAACATTTATTATTTCATCTTTTTCCTATAAAAATCTTTAATCATTCTGGAATTTATTTTAGTCTTAAGAGTAAGTTAGGGACCAAGGCATCAAGGGTATGATAAGGAGTTCTGCTATTTTTCTTTAATAGCATATCAATTAGCTGAACACTGTTGAGTGATATATTTCTTTTTCAATAGTTTGAAATACCATTTTTTATAAGATGACTGAACTTCCATATCCATGAGTTCTGCATGTGTGAATTTAATGAACCACAGATCGTAACTATTTGGAAAAAAAATCCATGAAGTTCTAAAAAGCAAGCTTGAATTGTTGTCCATTGAGTGAATCTATGCAAAAGACGTGATTTGTAGGCCTTGTATTTAGTATTATGAATAATTTGGATATGATTGTAAGTAAATAGAATGTGTGAATATGCATGAGTTATGTGCATTTGCCATGTCATTTTATATAAGGGGCTTCAGCATCTACAGATCTTGGTATCCACAGGGAATCCTGGAAGTAATCTCCATGCATAGGGATGACTGACAATATTGGATTTGATTTTAATTCCAAATGTATTTGTATTTAATTCTGTAGTCTCTGTTTTCATTCATTGATCTGTTTATTCTTATTTCAGTACCAAATCTCTTAAATTACTTTTTATTTTATCAAATATATGTACATGTGTACCCCATACACACAACTCTAAAAT